GAAAAACAAAAAAAAAACACAATATTAAAAAATAATAATAATAATAATAACTTTATTCAAAAATATCATAAAATTTTGGCTGATTTTCCAATTGTAAAATAATAAAAAAGCGTAAAAATATTAAGAAATAAAAAAAAATAAAGAAAAAATGTAAGAATTTAGAAATTTTAATTCTCATTACTTTACAGACTTATTCAGTCCGACGTGAAATCTACGGCAGCAAAGACGGCAAAAGTGTGTATTTCACTCTCGCCTTCGCTGGGATGGCCCTCATGGCCGCCGTCGTCGTGGGGGTGGCAGTGGCGCGCCGCCGATCGGCGAGGTCGCCCCAAAGTCAGGGCTTCGTGGAGGTGGACCAAGCCGCCACCCCCGAGGAGCGACACGTGGCCAACATGCAAATCAACGGCTACGAAAATCCAACCTACAAATATTTCGAAGTCAAGGAGTAATAATAATCATCATAAAGACGTTGATTTTATTCGTGGTGCATTTTGTTAGGTTATGTTACGTCATTCCATTCCTTTACCAGATTTTGACTAGTGTGAAACGGACCTAATGTCAAATTTTGACATTTCAATACAAATGTCAAAATGAGGTTAGATAACCGTTTCAAATGTCATTTTTGACATTTCTAAGGACCGTTTCACATTTTTTTGGTACTTACGCAACTGATAATAATTCGGCATATGCAAAAAGTCTAAATTATGAAAAAAGTAATAATTTTTGCATATGACAGCCAGTCCATGTTTTACACTTATTGTATAATCTTAAGTGAGCTGTGAAGTTACATTGCCTTGGTGTAATTTTACAGTGTGAAAAAGAGTGTAGCTAGATGTATGGTACCCTCCATAATAATACAGGGTGTCCCGTATAAACCCAACATTCAAAATATTGGGAGTTTGAATAATCATATTTGTTTGAAAATTGCTACACACCCATAATCCATTAAATCCTCCTAAATGAAAATATTTTCAAGATGGCGGCACTTCCGGTTATACCGGAAATCGGTCTCAACTTTCTTATTTTAAATAGAAAGCTATATTTTTTATTGCGTTTTTGGATTATTTGGGTTATTTTAAGGGAGTTTTCATCAGCTTTCCCTATACCTAAATTTAGCCGTTTTTGAAATATTTAGAGTTTTTCAAAATTTTCTAAATTTGAGAGAAATTTGCCCACACAACGCAAACAATTTCAACGCAACAATTTATTTTTGTTTCTTTTCAAAAATTCAAAGCATTTTTTACATAGAAATTCACAAAATTCGAGAAATTAACTAAAA